CATCCCATGTTCTCTCCGACAAAGAAGTGGCACCAAAGGTGGTAAATACTATGGGCGTGCCAAGACCCCCCCCCCCAAACATTCTATGCGTCCACCGTGAGACATCCATCCCATGACAATCTCACGTCTCTAACAGCACACACGCGGCGTTATCTACAGCCACGACGACGAAAACGCCGCCATCGTAAGCACCGGCCGAACACAAGCTGAGCAGCAGCAGCAGCAGCACCTCACCAGCGTAATCGCAACCCAGACTCACACAATGTCGGAGCAAGCTAAAACCGCCACACTCTTGGTTGGTCAAGCTAGGTCGGGGTTAGCCAGCGTGTTGCGCACTGCCCCACAAGATCTTGAGAGGGGTGCCCATGCTGGTTGGCGACAGACGGCAGCACAAGCCACAGCGAATCCCAGCCTCTCTGCCGGTCCGGTGTTGTCTGCTGTTTTCATTTGTACCTAATTCCGGCTACTTTTCATTTGTCCCTCTTCTAGGTTGTATAGCTTGTGACGACGGGAATTGTTTCTGCCCCATGAAGAGCAAAGCGGTACTGGATAGCGGTCGTTGTGTTTCTTCTAAACATATCACAACGGATCAATCTCTGTCCTTAAATAAGGGTCAAGAGTAAATTAGCAAGCGATCCATGGCAGTAGCGGAGGCACTTCCTGTGATTCTGCGATTCTACGAATGTTCTGCTAGCATGCAGACGACAACTACAGCACCAGCACCAGCAGCATCAACAACAACTATTTAACACCATTCTCGCTGCTGACTGCTGTGCTCGCTCGTAAGCGCGATGAAGGGGGTTCAACTCGACTAAACGACAAACAATCTTCGCGTGGGTCACGGGCGCTTCATGGTACAACATAACGGGGGGGGGGGGGGTATACTTACCACGCAGCTTGGCAACCAACAGCGGTACCCTGTAGCCCGTCCTATAATACCTCCTCCTCGACGAAAAGAATGTGGTGCACCAGTATTCATTTAGTGCAGCTTGGGCGTGCGAAAAAGATGTACAGCAGAACTTAGTGCAGCATCTCGGACGCGCGTGCGGTGGATACCGGTCATTCCCAAAACATTCGTCGTCGTTCTTAATCCGACGAGAGAGATTCAACAAACTCCGGAACGAAACTCAAAAGATGATTCCAATGCAGGGACGGACGCGCTGTTGACGATCACCCGCCCCGCCCGCAGCCCATGATCAAACATAATTGGACACACCCAAGGGTACGCAAAATAAAAGATGACGCACCCGGTGTTGGCAGTCCCGCCTATTATACAGACCTGCCTGAGCACCGTTTACAACCCCAAGAGCGATGTAGGCCTGTTCCAAGCAAGCACCGCCAACCCAGCACCTACCCGCGTCAGGAACCAACCGACAAGCACCTATCCAAGCAAAGAATCATCGTATCAACGCCGACCTGTGCATAGCACCTACATCTACAAGGCGGAACAACAGCCTACTTTAGCAACCATACCTGCACACCAACCTATTGAGCACCCAGTGTCGGTCGGCACACCAACCTTACAATATAACTTATCCAACCAGCGACAACCTTAGCACCCATCGTGTCGGTTTGGGTTATGGTTAGCATTAATAGGTTTTTTAGCCCCCGTCAACGGTCTCGGGGCATGGCATACTTGCGTACCCCTGGAGGGCGCATACAAGTACAATGTTTGGGCGCCCTTACGACTGCTGTGGTAAAAAATACTTCAAGTACCGAATACACAAATTGAAGCAGCCAAGTAACGGGTACATACACCGACGTCTAGCCTTACAGGCAGCCGCGGTGATCTTCTCAACCGCCAAAGCCTGGCGAGGAGTGCTATGCATAGCGGTGATTAATACGTACTTGAGGGGGTCAGGCCTTGAAGGACCGCTCCATTTGACTCAGTGGGAACACTTCAGATAACACGGGGGGGGGGGGATACACAACGTCAGAATGTCACGAACGAACCAAGAAAACCAGGTCCGTTCTCCAACATGGCTCTTGAAACATGCCTCCGTTCTCTCCTTGCAGTATACTCTAACATACCTGGAGTCTCTCGCTAGAGTTGGATTTAACAATGCTCTATGTAGGCACAGCTTGCGACGAAACTCCTGCTTTCTTTCGCTGCCTTCTCGATGATAACATGACCACGCAAACTACCTGCTGCATGCAGAATACCACCATTCGTAGTACGCACACTATTGCTGTGGGTAGCAAGAGGAGATAAAAAGAAAAGAGCTCTCCATTCCACAGCAACACTCAATTGCGAAGACATCCCGCCACCAACATGGCCCTGGAGATCGAGCGCTCACACAAGCCTGGACTAGTCGGAGGGGGGGGGAACCGCAGCACACCGACAGGTTGGTCTACATGGGGACGATTCTTACCGGACTGACGGCTGCAGTGCGGCACGCTACTCGAGCAAGCAAGTGGTCCAGTGGACGGTTGGGGTGACCGCAACAGGGTCACAAACCCACCCTCCTCATTATACATGGTTCCAGGGGGACGAAGAAACAAGTCTTGCGATGCACGACAAGGGGGAAGGAATAGGAATTCTACCTTGCACTTGCTGCAAAGTCTATGTAGGAGCAGCGGTCGGCGCAGGAGAGAGCGCGTGCTGTTACAGAGCTCTGAGAAAAGAGAACATCACAGCCAGCCGCTTTCTGAGACTCTCACCACTCGGCCCAAGGGAGAGGCGGCGTGATTGTTGTTTGGCCAAAAACCCGCGCAACTTCCTAAAAAAAAAATCACGGACTGCAGATGGACTATAGACGCATCCGTAGCAGGTTGAAAACACTGCTGGAGGGATGGTGGGCGTAGAAGAGCACGCCACGCTCCACATCACTGCAGCAGCGACCGCCGTGCAAAACGCTGTGGTCGAAACCAACAAGCTTTCACAGGACTTTCTGCTGTAAATGGTCTATATGCATGGAGAGTGTGCAAGCCATGATGGTTGCGTTATTGTGTTTGTTGGGCACGCGGTCATACGACGGCATCACATGACAAAAGAGCAAACACGTGATAGGGACGTGCACTCAACCCTCTCCCTGGAGAGGTATTGAGATCAACCTGCTTGTTGCTCTCTTGCTCCTTATATATTCGATCGGCTCCTCTCTTGCGACTGCTGCTGTACACATCCATCACACCTCTCAAAAGAAAACTCTTCAAAAAATCACGGACACAGCAAAGCTTGTAATTGTGGAAGGGTTATGTAATCCAGATCAGACCGCACCTTAGTGGTTGCAGAGATGGATGCAGATAGGAAGAAAGCGTAGGCCGCGCGCCCTTTCCCAAGCTTGCTGCTCTCCGTCCGCCCTCTCTCTCTCTCTGTCTCTCTCTTTCTCTCTCACCCCCACTGGTTGAGGAAACACCACACGACAGCGAGAGCTACGGAACAACACTACACTACTTTGTACTCTGAAAATGTCGGAATCAATCTCTAGACGGGGGGCACGCAATTTTGTCTTAAATTTTGATGCCAGAGGGACCCAATCCTTAAGACCATTTGTTTTCGTCTTATGCATTCCGCAGAAGTTACGCCGCCTCGCCGTCCCCGATGCCGCGACGATGTTGCGATCCAAAGAAATAATCACACCGCCAGAGATCCGCCCACCGTCGCCTTTGCTGCTTAACTAATTAGTCGCCAATGACGAGATAGCGAAGGTAAATGGCGACAGACACAGCAGGAGCGGCGGGAGTTTGCGCTGTAGCGGAGCCGGGCGGGGACGATGATGACGACGACGATGGTTGGCTGTTCGCCGCCGCATGCTCCGATGGGATCGGCGGCAGCCCCGACGCGATTGGACGCTACGCCGCGATCATCAAGGACGTCGACGCGCACGTCTACCGGCGGGGGATGGCGGTGCTGGCGATGGGGAAGGCCCTTGGGCGCGAGCTCGGGAAGCTGTCAGGAAGCTCGGCTTCGGTACAGAAATTCCGACAGGTTGGTTGTGCAGAGGACATGCATGCAATATGATCGATCACGACCGACCACGACGACGCCGCTCCTCTCAGCAAGATGCATAAAAATTGGTCTTCAAAGAACGAATAGATTTCGGGGAGACACAGGAGAGTGTCGTATCATGCACAGGAAACAACGTATAAAACAGACCGAGACTATTGTACACAAATCAGGTTCCTGCTTGTAGACTCAGTGTTACAACACAATACGCTGTCTACTCTGTATATGGTAGACTATGTCATACAGCAGTCTATGTACGTAACAAAAATGTTGGATGATTTGCAGCAGGTGCTGTACGTGCGCCCCCTTCACTGTTGCACGCCGCGGTAGAAGTTATTTAGTACGAAGTACTTCGTATATAGTTTATGCCTTACGGATGCACCACTGAACCCTCCAACAACAACAAATGTCGACCAAGGCTACGCCGGCGGCGGATGTTCCCTCCAACCGAATGGGCACACGCACGATTCAGGTTTTAGCAAGACTTGCGCATCTCATCTTGTAGTACTGTGCGGTGCGAGCCCGTACTACAGGGGGCAAGGTCTTGGCTACCTGCTATCACCTACTACTCCCTCTGCACGCCTTTCGCAGATTTTGATTACCCAATGGCGCACGTATGTCTGCGCCTTCTCTCGTCTCCTACAAGTTGGGCGCCACATTGAAGGTTTGTACAAAGTGCACTGTTCATGTGTAGGAGAAGCCTACAGTTACACTCGATTGCGCCTCTCCCCTTTCTCCCCTTGCACTTGAACAGGAATGCGGTGGCGCCGGTGGTGTTCTCGACTCCGTTCTGGACATCCTCGGTCAGTGCACCGTAACATCACGCACCAAAGCGGGGCGTCGAAGGGGGAAGGCCCCGGCCTTGTTGGCCGGGTGTGGCGTTGCAGACGCCCTAGCCATTCGCACGAACTGCTGTGCCCTCGTCTCCCTGTTGGCTTCGGCCTTGCTGGAGACGGCGGCGACGAGAACGACGGGGAGCAATGGCGCCGAGAACGTCCAAGTTGCCCCTCGTCCTGACCAAAACACCGATAGCCCACGAATGGAAGAAAATGACAAGCTTGGCGGTGGCGGTGGCGGTGGTGGTGATTGCGAAGGCAGGGGCGCAGACCCTCTTTTCCAAGCTGCTTCCCATGGCGTCGGGGTTGATGTATGTACCGCGTTTGTACCCATGAGCGCCAAACCTAACCCCGATGTGGTCTGCCTGGTTCGGAAAAAGGGGTGGGCGGCGAGGCAACAACAGCAACAGCAACATGTGCAGCCCACGGAAGGACCAGTGGGGACGATTACGACTCGAAACTCGAACCATTCCCGAGTGTGTGGAATCAACAGCCTGCTCAAGACCAAGCAGCGTTGGGCGCGTCGTACCCCGGGCGCACGGCTTGGTGGTAGTACCCCTGTCTGCGAAGCGGCCACGGCATCTTCTGACCACCCACAAAAATGCAACGGGCTAAAAGCAGCTAAAGGCCAGCATTTGGACCGGGTAGCGCTAAACGTAGCCCATCCGAGCGGCAGAGGCAGAAACCGCGACACCAAACACACGGGAGAGGTTGTTAGTGGCGGTGCTTTGCCCAGGGAACACTCCCCCTCATCGGAAACCCGGCAATGGCGTCCTCGTCATCACCAGTCTGTGTCCGACAGACTTGCTTCCCCGCCCAGACTCAGTCGTGTCGGGGGGGGTGGAACCCCCGCTCCTGGGCCGCGGCAGCCGGGTCGGTCTCCTCCATCAGAGGGGCGACGTAAAGTGGACAATGGGAACACTGTCTTGCCGTTGGGACTGTCAAGCCCTGTCCACCAAGACCGAAATATACCAATACCGGAAAATGTGAGCTACGGGGGGATATTTCCGGGAGAATATGGGCATCCTACGGTTGGGTGTGTCGTGGAATTGCCTTGATTTGTCCATCCACATGATAGCGGCCTTACCAGGTCCAGGGGGTTATTTCGTTACTGCTGATTTGGCAGGATGTGCAAGTTGTATAGTATTTCGAGGTGGCCATATGATGGCGCGTCCCCATGATCACTCAGACGATATGATGGCATAATATGCCGTATTTCAACCGCATGGTGTGTTCCATTGATTCAGATAGCGGGTGTTCGGTTGAGCCTGCGTTTGCAGGGAATGCGTGCTAGGTGGAAGTAAATCTTGAACAGAGAGGAGGCAAAACGAAAGCAGCAACAACCTTATCTGTGGTCGGACTTGTTACACACAGCCCCACAAAGGATAGCAGAGAAGAAAATGTCATTGCACCCTGTCGAAGCTCCCGAATCAAACTTCGTCTCTAAGATCACTGATTAGACCTGGCCGCCAAGCACGTAGCATTCAGCAGCCCAACAACCGATAGGTTTTTCGTTGGAGGAAGATCCACGGCTTTGTCAACGATGGGAGTTATCACGGTGACTGTCGACAACAAAACGCATCAGGCACGGCGCGTTTCACGCCACGTCATTGCGACGTTTCGGTTTTATGGTGCACGTTATCTGAGTCTATTCTGCTCTATGTGATGTTCGTGGTTGTGCTTTAAACCTGTGGTTAAGAATTCTCAGGTGTGGCACACGGTATCAGTTTCGCGGCGAAAGCATCGGAAAGAAGCACCCGCAGGCGAGCGGTCGCCACCGGCCATCACCCTCACCCCGGGAGCAAGATCGGAGAGGTTCAGGACCCAGCCTCCCGTACGGCCAGCCGTTCTTTTCGGATCGGATCCCGTGCGCGAATCGGAGGTGGGTCATTTCTTGTCGCCGACAACGAAGAGAACCGATTATCGCCGCCGGGACCACGAAAAAGGGGTTCAAATCTCGAACATTCCTCAGCTTCACTTGAGCGACGGAATTTCGAATCACGTCCCTGTTTTTGTCACAGTTTGTTTGCAGCACTCGCTGTTGATGTTTCCGTGTAAGAACATACCATGCACTTGATCGCGACCAACACCGAAGGGTAGGGCATGGCATGCTTCCAGCTGGAAAGAGGAGGAAAAACCAAGATAGAAACGGACATCATAGTGCAGTCCAGTCAGCGAGCTCGTCAATGACTGCGTGGAGGGAGCCTGCCGTAGCGCCAGTCGCCCTTATCCCCCCCTCCCGTGTTTAAGGCGGCCACCGGCCCTTGCGCTGGATAGTTTGAAGCTCTGTCCTTTGGGTCATAGGTCGAGAAGAATGACGTTCATGCCCTTCAGGAGGTACTGCTGTGCGTGGAATCCTAACGCTGTGTATCAAATCGCTTCAACAGTACAAGCAAGCTTCACCTCTGTTCGCGCCGCCCCTTCGCGACTAAGAAGCACCTTCGTTTACTTTTTGCCGTTCGCTTTCTTCGTTTCACCGGGGGGGGGGAACACTGCAGTTCAACACCTACTGGGGGAAGGACAACAATGCCTTCGCCGCAGACGCCAAGCTGGGCTACCAGGTCCCTCGCCTCTGGTTCCCCCACGCTAAACCTGGGCAAGCAAGGGATCACTTGGAGGGGCGAGCGTCCGCCTCTGCCGGCGTTTCGATGCCCGGCCCCCGCCCCCGGGCTTCCGGGGGTGCGGACCAACCGATCGGGAGCGACGCCGTTGTCCAAGAGTACCAGCAAATGCAGGCGTTTCGAACTTACAGGTGAGGTCGTGAAGTACATAGCGGTGCTACCAACCTGAAGATGAGAATGGAGTCGAGGGAGGTCGCACCCGCGTTACTTGCTATTTAACCCTGTGTTGGGTGACTCATCACCAAAGCAAGCCAGGTACTACCTTACTCACAGGACTCCCGATTTGGGATGGGCAAGGACTGTAAGAAGCTTGGTGAGTGACATTTTCACCCTGTCACGCGTTCAACCAAGACCACTTTCGCCGATTCTCTCTCACGGGGTAAATCACTCCTATAATGCAAAACAAACATCTCCCGAACGAAGGTTAACGCGTAAGTAGGTCGGGCGAGAGGTATACAGTACTCCTAGCCCCTCCGGACGACCCCTCCCGTCCCCTACGCTGATGTCCATACTTGCTCCCCGTAACAGCGCCCTAGCGCAGACTCGCCCCTCGTCTGCCGAGCCACTGCATGGCGTCGAAGCCAACGCCGCCCTCGTAAGCACGCTGGGAAGGCTTCCTGAAGAAGAAGACGCCGCGATCGCGCAAGAGTGGAGTCCTCGCAGAGGACGAAGGCCCCGACGACTACTCCGTGCTGCTGCTGCCACACAGCAACAGCACGACGATCTAGGCCAGCAGATGTTGGCGTCGCCGTCTGCTGGCGGCGGTCGGCGGCGGACTCGTGACAGCTCGTCCAGATCACCTCGACCAGGGAGAAAGGAACGCGTGGGACGACGCCCAGACAATGCTCCGTCCGTGCCAAGGTCGCCTCGGACGGGAACGTCGCTGTCGTGCTCTCCGGCCAGGCGAGGGAGAGGCAGGAAGAGGCGCCGCCGGGTCGGCAGACGTGGAGGAGGAGGAAAAAGAACATTCCAGGGGCCACATGGCGACGACGATGATACTCTATCGCTTCATACTGCCAGCGACGGAGGCAGCAGCGGCCGCCGTTCTTTCGAAGCGAGTAGATTCTTGCCGTATGGCTTGTCGCCAAGCCCCGCAAGGCGCTACGACCCCGCCGCAGCGAAACCGTTGGGAAATCTTGGCGGGCCGTTCATGCTGCCCGGGTCACCGTACCGCACTTACAGAGCCAAACACTATCGCCTCCTTCGGGCGCAGTCTTCGGAGCGAGCGGCTGCCCGAGCGAGGCGCGAGAAACTCCGGGAAAGTCTGGACAAGTGGTGGGTTCCCAGGAGCAGGAGCGCCGACGGTGCTGGTCCAAGGCGAGCACGCCGTCACGGGAGCGGGAGTTCGGGTATGACCTCGCCGCTGCTACGGGGGGGAGGATTCGGCCTGCTTCAATCGCGAGTCACGCAAAAGGTGGGTGGTACTCCCCGCATGGTCTTGTTTGGTTTTCCCGCCGAGAGTGATGATCGCTTCGGACAGAGATTATACAGCGCATGTTGAAGTATTAGCTTCAGGCACGAAGGGGGGGGCTCTTTGCTTAGCCGACCTTACGAGCTTGTGCCGGTCTCCTTTGCCACTTCGTCACCGCGCGTGATACCTATTTCGTGTCCAGCTTAACTTGCACCCGCGCAACGCCAGATATATTCCGCCATCCTTCTTGAGCCACTCGAATACCCCCAATCCACCAACCAATCAACACACCCATGATCTGAACTGGGCAGGTAGCTCTGGGGTATCAGCTCCCTCGCGATCGGTGCAGTGCCTCTGGGCGCGAACGGGCCGCGGCCGCTGCTGCAGAACAAGCCCTCCGCGCCATGTACAAACCGGTGCCTGAGCCGATGTCTCCCGGACGCGCCGATCGAAATCGGAAAACTACGGCCCACCTTCGCCTCAGCGATTCCTTGTCCGATGAAGAGGAGATCACATACCACGATGATGATGTTTCTCCAAGGCCGCCCTCAGCTGGACACGGCGACATCCTCTACGGTGACAGCGGCAGCGACAGTAGTGTCGCTGCCTACGACGATTCTGATGCTGCTGCGTCCGGTCGAGGTCGAGAGGGCTTTCCCGTCACTCGACATTTCGCCCGATCTGGAATGCGTTGGCCCAGCCCACCAAAGCGCGCGAGGGCGCGACCTAGCCACTACCAACGCCGCTACCCTGCGAGCTTGGGGAGGACAAGGGACGACGGTCGTCGCCGCCGCTGTCGTCATCAGATGGCGGAGGAATCACGGGGTGGAAGGGCACACGGAGGTTGCCATTCGTGGTCTCCACCGCGGACGAGAACGCAATCCTACGGCGCTTTCCCCACGGTCACCACTGCGAGCAGCAGCCGGAACACGACCGCCTTTGACCGCGAGGAAGGGCGAGAGACGGCGCACTCTGGGTACGACTATTACTTCCAAGACGGCGCGGGATACGAGCGTGCTGCCGGGTATTCCAGCCATCGCCACCGATCCCTCTCTCCCTTCCTTCTACCGCTCGACCCCTACCGAGGCTCGCGGACCGTCGTCCGCGCTGGAAGCCTTGTCTCTCGTCGGGATGCTGCGGCCGCTGAGGTCTCCTCTCGTCGAGCTGCTCTCGCCAATCGGAGGGCTTCCGAGTCGCGGGTCGCAGCGGAGAGGCCTACCACTGAAGATGCGCCGACGTCGTTCTCGTCCCCCGGACACGGCCGTCGGGGCAAGCAGCGAACACGAACACGTGGTGTCGACGTTGGCAGCCTCGGGGGCGGCGGTCAAGGGTATGGGTGGGCGACGAGTGGAGCGATACAGGAGGAAGACGAAGAGCTGCGCGGGGACAGGATCCGGCGTTTCCTGCCGTCGGTCGAGAGCATGAGCAGGGAGCTGGAGGCGATCAAAAGGGCCGACGCTGCTATGAGGGAAGAGCAACTCGCACAGGTGTGCGCGCCCTGGGCGGAAGATCATGTCACTGAAACCGTTCTTCGGATGCTGCAAGTGGTAACAGTTTGATAACCACCCCATAGTTCGACGCTTGTGTGCAATGCCTTCGACCAACCGATCAGCATGTTGCTATCGCCCCGATCAGGTACAACTGAACACCAATGCGCTGCCTCTGGCGCTCCTACTCGTGCATCCCGGTGGCGCGGCCCGAGTGCGAGACTTCGTCGCGCGAGCTCTCTCGCTCTGGCAGAGGGAAAAGTCGAGGGCGAGGATGACACAAGCGTTGGCGAGGTTCGTTTTAGTGGTGTTCCGCGACAACCCTTCCTCCCCCGTGCCCTTCGTTTGCATTTGCTCTGTGCGTCGTGGCTGCACTTTTTGCATTGAGCTAGGGTAGTCACAAGGTCTGTCAGTTCTTCGACCGTCAGCAAAGGACGAACAGGGGAACGTTTAGCGAGGGAAAATGCCTTGGTTCGTCTCAGACGTCCGCTGTTCCGGACGAAACATCGTTGCACCATATGCGAGCGGGCGTGTGCTTTGTGTGCTACATACCGGTAGCCGATCGGACATGCTAGTGCTTGCGAAGTGCGCATAGCCAAGCTAGATACTACCGCCCACCAAAAGTTCAACTTTCTTCTCGCTCGCACGCGGTTGTGGCCTATTCCCTCCCCAGGTGGAAGATAGAGTGTGAGGCTCAGCGATTCCGTGAGCGGGGCTTGGGGTACAGGACACGTTTCGGAGCCCTCAAAATCAAGGTAAACAGCCACCACAATAATATTGTACCACTCTGGTATAAACAAATTGCAGAACGTGGCAAAGCGTTAACACGCGGGGGGTGTCACCGCATGGGCGGAACCTTGTGAAGTCGCACATGCTCATGGTGGCAATCAGTCATACTCGGTTGTTCTGGGTGCCCGACCGGCAATCAAGCCGTCTTGGGGTCCGCAAAACTGAGAGCTGGGCTGTCTCAACAGCGGCCGGCCGTGTTTTGAAGGAGGTGTCGCTTTGGAGAAGGCTTCGGCATGGCTTACTCCCGGTGATATAAGTGTGCAGCTGATGGAATTTCCGATTGCCAACGAGGCCATAGTTGTGCACAGCACGTTCATTGAGGCCAACGTGTCCAAAAATCACGTTAGACGTCTTTTCGACCGGGATGCCACAAACGTTCAGTAGTAGTCACCAGAGCTATTTGCACCAAAGCAATTTGTACATGGTCAAGACGAATATCTGAGCTCAACGTTGTTGGTGGTGCTACCCAGCAGTGATGCTCATAATTCTTAATTCAAACGCTAAAATATCGGTCGAATTCGGGTTCCCTTTGAATGTACACTCTTTGCCTAACACGTGGGGAGATAAAATTTCCTCTGGTATGTTAAGTATGGCCTAAAGGTAGGGATTCCTGACCACTGGGTAATTTGGTCAGGTTGATACTCAGTTGGATTTGCAATAGAAGCTGACCGTTGCGTCTTGGTTGAACGTCTTATAAACGGGCCAAGTACGTGGAAGAGCTCATAAACGGGGGGGAGAATGTCTCCTCGTAGCTCTTTGATTGTTGCTCAACACCAAGCGCCACGTGAGACCTGACGATGCTGCATCCGGGTTCGATTTGTGTCGTCTTATTCTGACTCCGAACGGCTAGGTATCCAAACAGGTTGCTCATTTAATGCTCGAAGGGGTCTTACGCGCTCCTTCCTCTCCGTGTTTCTTTACCCCTTGTTCATGCTTGCCGGTGGGCTTCTTTCCGTCGACTGTGTGTGTGGCGAATAAGCAACTCGTGAAAAAACGGAGGCCCATGATACTAAGGGCCAGACTGGCAAAATGGCGAGCGTTCTGCCGCATGGAAATTTATACCGTTAGGGCGGCGTCAGCGATCCGGATACAAACACAGTACCGAAGGTGCGCCAATCAAATGCCTCGCGGAGCTTGATTCACCATTCCCCTGAAATATATGTACCAGCAGCACCTGAAACTCGGCGCAGAGATAGATTTCGATTATCCGGATGGAGGGGCTGCGGAAGAGTTGGCCATGTCTTGAAAGGAACTGATGCTTGGGAAGCCTTTGGTTGGCTTTGAACCCTTGTCGGAACGAAGCAAAATTTACCGAGAGGAAGAGTTTATGAAGTCTTCGAAGTTGCACCGTGGTGGATACACGGAGTGATCTCGAAGCTGTTGGGTCCTCCTTGGTGTAACGTACAAAAACAGCTCTGAAGTTGTGGACCATTCTCGCACTCGTGTTCGTTCCCGCTCTCGTCTCCCTCTCCGCCGCCCCCCGAAAAGATGGAAAGCGTTTCGATTGTTTCTCAGCATGCACTACAGCAAGCCGCTCGGGGGAGCCCTCAGTGACATTTATCTGGAAGAGGAGAGAGAAGGCGTTCAATTCAAGTGAGGCGGAGGAGGAGGGAGTGGGGGGGAGGAGGAGAACGAGGCCTTTCGTATCGGCTACACTTTTCTCGTACACCGCTCACCTTATTATGCATATCGTCCCTTGAGCATTACGTTGTAAAATGGTTGTCTTTCGTCCGAATGCCCATCAAAACCCCTCACGGAATACTTCAACTCGCTGTTCTTTTTGTTTTGAAATCCGTAATCCTTCGTGACATACTCGTGTGCACGATGCACGGGTCAAACTGGCGGTGATTAAAGTGGCCTAGACCGATGAATAGTGGTGGTGGGCACATGTGCAATCTGCCAGCATCACGTCAGCGTACGGAAGAATCTTCCTCAGGCTTGACAAGCAGGAGTGTGCTATTGTTTCTGGAAAATTATTTGGTTAGAGCCCTGGTGACGAAGGAGATAAAATAACACCAGCGCACCAGTTGGCGCTTGTTCCTAAAAATCCATTGTTTGAACCCCCTTCCTTATCTCACACAGCTGATCGCACAAAACTTGTTGAAGCCGTGGTCGTGAATGCAGCCGCTGCCTCGGACGTGTTGGTACATGAATACTTTGCGCGCGTTCTCTGAATGATTCACCTCGGGAAGTGATCGTAACTAATTTTGAGCTTTGTGCCCGCTTTCCCTTCTCGTCGCCCACCCGTCCGCTCGGTCGGAAAAAGGATTGATTCGAGCATCAGGAAAGACCGCCGGTGCTTCTGGGCAGCTTCCATCGCCATCCAGACCAGGTGGCGCATGCTCCCGAAACGGGCCTTCTTCCGCCTCCTCAAGAAGGAGGTCAAGCGCGTGCAGACGCACTTTCGGATGTGGAGTGACCGGCGTGTGTACCTCTTCTTTAAGCGACAGGTAGGTGAACTCGTCTGCCAACACCGTGGCAATGAACGTTGTTGTCGCAAGCGTCGTGATCTATGCAAAGTTGTTGTCGCAAGTTGTTGAGGGTTCGGATCGCAAGGTACCACGGCATGTGACGCCTGTTTCTGGATGTTTATCGATCGATGTGCCGACGTTTTCTTCTAGCGGCAGGTGAGTCAACCGTTGTATGGCAACGGCTGCGTGCAGTAAGTGTGAACGCGAGCGCGCCATGTTGCAAGACGTCGTAAAAGCACGCCAAGGAAACCTTGTAGGTACCGGGCACGCGTCATGTAGTTTCTGAAGCACGAACCTGAACGCTCATTTTCATTCCCTTAGTAGAAGGTAAAACCTGCTTGTGCTATCGGACACGAAACAACTGGAGCTTCGCGATGTGCTGTTGAACAAGAAACGGTCGTTTAACAACAGGTGTCGTCCCGAGACAAACATCAAGCTATTCGCCCTAACAAATGAAAAATTCAAAATTACGGGCGTTCGTACAGCGACCCACTTTGCTTGCACAGGCAGACTACCCTTGTGCAATTAAATTAGCACCCGTACGTTTCCGGTCGTTTCTACGCTCACCTGTTCCCCTGCAGACGATCATGGCGCAGAGCTTCGCAAGGTTGGTGATCTGGAGGCCCAAGTGGTGCAGGTTCCGGGTAATCCCTCCCGTCATACAGCGCTTTGTCCGCGGGCATCTCGCCAGGTGTGAGGGCGTGATGTGGTGTTTTGATTGTGGCGGTATCCAGCCCTTCACGATTTAGACACGTTATAGTGTGATTGCCCTTCGGGCGTGTTGTTGTGCTGCGGATGCCTTGTTTGTGTGCTACCTAGGTTGGTGGTATGCCGTGATATAAAGCTCGGCGATGGAACTCACTCTCAATACGTCAACGGACGTTTCCCCCCCGTTCTACAAGAACGTGTCCCCAAGAAGTACGGCTACAGTATTTTGAACCGCGGGCTCGTTGAATTTGTGGGCAACTCGAATGCGGCAATAAATATAGCTTTTGGCGTATACCTTCGCTTACACTCGAGCGTATGTTCTTACGTTTTTATGTCCCTTTGTAATAAATGCGCCTCCCCGCTTTGTTTCCTTTCCGGCATGAGCGAACAGACAAAAGGTCCGTCGAATGCGACAAGCTCAGTACAGAGCACTGGAGGTAACGATGGGGAAGGCGGTGCCGTTTCAGACGGCGTGGAGGGGCTTCGCCGCGAGGCGGGCTTTGCGAGCACTTCAAGAGGAGAAAGATAAGGAGTTTCATGCAGCGGTACTTCTGCAACGCGCGTGGTACAGGTGAAATCCCCCCCTGTCACCAGACTAATCCAGCTAGTAGGTTGCTTCATAAAGGTCCGCTTTTATGATCACCAGCGACCATTTGGGTCCACCCTTCACTCCTTGAGAAAGGGCAGTGTGGAGGAGCGTCAAACGGCAACAGTCATGTGTTCGCCCCGAGAACGGCTGGGACCACATTGTAGCTCCGTCGAGGCCGCTCTTACGATGCCCGTGCCCGTGGCCTATTTAGCTCCCCGCCACGGAGTACTGCCTTTTCGTCACCTCAAGCAAGATCATCAGCCCTCCACCTTGACAATACTCTGGGCAGCTTCAACACTCGTGTACCTAGCACGTCTTTGGTCCCCGAACCGTTCTCCGGCTGTGAAACGTGCGCCCGCCATCCCCCAACGCAAGCCTCCTGTTTTTTCTGAATGGTCTTGGGCATACCCCGTGTGTGCCTCCTCTTGGTTCATCGAAGAGCATGTTTACTTTGGGGGCTGGACAGAGTAGTCCACGTTGCTGTTCCTCTAAATTTTGCTGATATGGAAGGAGCTGCCAGAACCGTAACCCTCGCGGAAAAACGTTGGCACCATTTGTATGCCTGCAACGCTCGTGACACCGAAAATATTACCTGTACCATCGATCAAGCGGACAGCACTCCTGGTACATGTTTTGTTGGATGCGGGTCATCCGTTAGTAGGTCAACTCTTTTTGGATCCTTCTGCAATCACGTTTCGCACCGGCGAATGCACTCATGGTTACGCCAGAAAATACTTTTGGTGCTGTTGCTCCGAGCTACACTTGTTCACAAACCTCTCGCGTCAACCTGGTGCTGATGGCCAACCCTCCCGTGGGATCGTTTTTTTTTCGCACCAGACGCATGAATCAGTTCCCGGCGTTTGTGCTGGTCTCATGCCTGCGGATAATGGACAAGTCCGACACGGATAACGCCAGATCCGCCCGGCTGTTCGACCTCAGCTTGCGCGCGAGACTCTTGCAGGTTTTTCCTTGTTTGGCTGTACGATTGTTCCAGGGTAGATCAAACAACGTGGTAGTCAATGCAAGCCCGGTATATCTCAACACCTTGTTGGCGGAGCTGAGGTCAGCAGATTCTACGTTCGGTTTCCATCCAGGAGCTTTTGTGCTTGGTAGTCTTGAATTCACTGAGTACCTCGCCGAGTTGAGCGTGACACCGTACCCTACTCGCGGTTGACTGCATGCTTTCCACACAAGTTTCGGTGCTCCGAAGCTGTTATTGTTCACTGCTGGAATCAAGAAAAAAACATCGGGCCACATTTTGTGCCGCGAGTCTTTCTCCAAGCGAGAGAGGAACATAATGCATGTGCGAGGCATGACACCCTGTGGTTGTGTCTATTCACTTTCTGCCCGAGCTCTCCGTGCACGAACTAAGCTCCTTACGAACAGTGTCGTTGGAGGCCAATAAGGGTCACCGCATCCCTCAACGCTTACTGATCGCGTCGTCTGTAGAGTGCGTTTCAATGCAGTGTTCTACCTTCGGCTTCCGTACCTCTTGACCGTTGCAAGCTACAAGCCCTCGTTGTTTTTGACCATTTACCCGTTGGGCACAGCGTACATACCGGCGGAGGTATCGGTTTCGGCAACGGAGAGCGGCGATCTTGATCCAATCGTGGTGGAGGATCCGGACAGGATCAGATTTCGTGGCCAGGTGGGTAAATGGACGGCTTGGTAACGATAACGGGTATAATCCCACGAACAGAGAGGGTAGTGTGTCTCGTGGGCACTTACCAAAGCCTGGACCCGTTCTTTCGTTCATTCAACATCCTATGGTTGGCTTTACTCTGATCAGCGTTCCCGCTTACCACCAGCGAGAGTTCTTATACCGAAACCCCATCTTGTTCAACTATTCCTGCAGTAGGTTCTCTTCTCCTTGAGGGAATAACATATGCAAGAAACACCTCCCCGTAGCGTGCCATTCGCCGATCGCCATCCAGGGAGAGTTTTACGTCGAGTGTCGTGTAACGTGATAGTTTGGCTTGTCATACAAAGACGTGCGAACCTATGACTCAGGTGCGAAGCCAGGGACAGCCATGGTAAAAGGGTGCATGCTGTTTAGTACAAAGTACCTGGTTTTGCTCGGCTGCCAGTGGACGTAGACTTGAATGATTCGATACGTGACTCCATTGGGACAGTCTCATCCAACTTTTGATAGGCTGTGGCGCGAGCCGGTCGTTGTTCCGGGCACAGCACGTTTTCAAGGCATTCCCCCGTTAACACGTTGCCTGCGATATGTACTCTATGGGTTCGCAAACGAGAAAGACCCACCAAGCACGAGACGTGGGCAGAAGGCCAAATCGGCACGCACGTTAATTGACACCCATCGCTGAGCATCATGATGGTTTTTTGGGGGTATACAACAACTTGCAAGAGACTAAAAGTTCTGAATCTTACTTCAAAGCAACCTTTGTTTCGTTCTCGTGGATCCGTTTCATGATTCCTTCCTGTCTTGTCTGTCTGCCTGTCTGTCTGTCTGTTCTTCTCCTTATCTGTCTGTCTCATTCTCTCTCTCTCTCTCTCTCTCTCTCTCTCTCTCTCTCTCTCTCTCTCTCTCTCTCTCTTTCTCTCGTGTGTCCCTCGCGAACCAGACTCCGAGCGGAGAAGTGGGCTAGTAGGAAGCTTCGCTGCTGGCTGACGGCCTGCATGAAGCAGAAGCACCACGCTTCGTGGCTTATCGCCCTTTGCTGGCTAAGATCCCGCCCCGGACGGCTTCTGATACATCTTCAGGTACGAGGTCCACGTTGGTGTAGTCTAATCGTATCTCAAGCATGAGAGCACGATCAAGTCATATTGTGATTATGACGGTACCAAGATTGTACAGCCAGCCCAAGAACGGAATACACAACCACGCATGTAGGCAGTGCGACGACCTGTTTTGAAGTCGGGAGTGGTTAATGGCGAGTGCGATACCACACGTCTGTCTGCATCATCCTGATGGTGGTTGAAGCACTCCTGGCCATGACGTCTTGGTCATGAAAAGTGTGATGCCACATGTCTGTCTGCGTCGTCATGTTCAAGTCGGGAGTCTCCCCGAAACATACACGTTGCCGGAGGCTGGGGAGACTGCTAGTTCACCGAACGCGTGACCTTCGTGTCAATTCATGGCTGCGCGTCGAGAAAGACTACCAGTTCGTGCACGTCAATAGGTCACAATATTCCAAGTGAACTTACGCCTTCCCCGCATCCTTCTCTGCTCGCTAGGACTTCCGGCAACGAGAGGAAGAGGAATGGTGGAAGGTGTGGCGGGAGGGACGAGACTTGGCGGCCGCTAAGCTGCAGGGCGCGGTACGAGGACAGCGAGTGCGGAGGGAGCTCTGGGCGGAGGTATGCCTATGGCAGAAGATACTTGGACGTTGATTCGCGTAGCCAGAAAGCAAAAAAATCACTGCTTTGGACACGATGGGATAACGTATCTCAGGTCCATGTACACCGTGACGCAACCAAAGCACTCCTTGGCGCTTTTGTTGCCTCACCTTGACTACGAGACCACTGACAACATTCCCTCTTCCACCTGCCTTACGTCAACCCCGCACCTCCGTTGTGACCGCTCGCCTACGTTCAGCGCGCGGCCGTGTTCGTCCAACGAATTGTTCGGGGCTACATCCATCGTGCGCGCGCGCGCAAAAGACTTGAAGAGAGGAGGAAGGAGCAGGCTGGTGACTACGTCTTCGAACTCCTTGAAGAGGTACCGTTGAGTAGATGGACATGCGGGCGAGATTTTGCGGAGGGAGGGAACATAGGGTGGAAACGGCGTGCGGGCCATGAGCACGAATCTTGTTTTCATCGCCGGCATACCGTCAGATGCAGGATTTACACTACAAGCCAAGGGTATGATGAAACATGAAACACTTGTAGACTCTTGAGAGAGTTTTGTGTACACCTCTTCCGAAACAGCATACTGTCGCACTCTCAACACCGATGCCAGCGGTGACGGAGCTCACAGAAGTAGGACCACAGTACCTTGCGGCGACTATGCCTTGAATTGCTCCCTACTGTCGACAATGTATGCCCCCCAAGTTGTATCACACTCCACACGTGTTCATGCACACTACAGGGGATTAGGAAAGAGACGTCTAGGCGGGCCTGGATCAGGGCGTCCGCCGGGGACAAGCTTCGAGCCTGCGGCCGAGGGCTAGCAACGCGAATGGTCTTGAAGCGGGCAGCCGAACGAGTACGGGTGGAGATTCTCATGGCCATACGATTGCAACGCTCGTGGAGGTCGGTTCAAGCTCTCTCAGGCAGCATTGATCACTCGGCTGTCCATGCTAATGGAGAGTTGACTTGGAAAGAATGAGGCACAAAGAGAAAAATACGGGGATAGAAAGCCAGTGTGCGAGCGGTTACAGGTGGTGGGAGGCAGTACAATTACAGACGCGGGCACAATCTGAGCCACCACTTGGTGGAGACGCTTGTGGCCATCCATTTCAATGCTCGTTGAGGGTGCTGTACTCTAGAATCTTGGGTAGTTGATCGTGTTGCACAGCAGCCCCTTTCCCGCTCTGATGGGTAAACTGCTAGCGTACGTACGTGGACGTGGTCGGTGGGGGTTGAATGGGTGCCACCAAACGCGCGAGTCAAAACCCTGGCATCATCACACTAAACGAGACCGAGGCTGCCCCCATAGCTCTGCAACAGACTGTTTAAGAATACATGTTCTATCTTAGGGACTCGTTTTCTATCGCGACGACAGGGAAACACCGGGAACACGTGGGGAACATGCCTCTCAATGCACGCCACCGTTAAACACATACCACTTGTCATCACGACCATCCCCTGACGATCGACTCCCAACCTTCCTGTTCCCCGACCTCGCGTTTCTTCACCCACCCCGCCGCGATGCAGATACCGGCGCGGCATGCTGGCATCTATACGACAGGCCCTCAAGGAACTCCGCCGGATGAAGTCTCCCTTCGCATCCGTCGGACCGCGAGTGGAAGACGTGGCCGCCGCATCGATAGCGGCCGCCTCGGTCCATCTGAACCCTCGCAACGGCCCCGCCGGCTGCGGCCTCTGGAGGCTATGCCGGCGGCTCGGGTGCGATGGGGACGTGTTTCCCCTCTTGAAATCTGCTGGGATTTCTGGGTCTGAGGGTTTGAGGTGAGGGGTTCTGTGCAACCGCTACATGTAGCCGCGGGCTCTACATGTGGCCGTGGTTGTCCTTGTTGTATATTCTATCGCCATCTGTGCCCCCAGAGACGTTGGTATTCTCCACCGGGAGGCAACCGCGTAGCACACGTCAGCACCCTGTTCTCCGAATGTAAGAAGGACCGCACGTCAATGTTATCTACCCGATTCATTGGTCCGTTCAGAATGCATGAGCACCACGCGTTGGCGGCAATTCGTCGACCTGAGGTGCCCAGTTCCAACAAGAACGAGAATTTTCCGTTGTTCCAGAACCTACCCCTCTTCCTGCATCCTTTTCTCACCGACAACACACGCCCCCGCCTCTATCGTCCGTGTCCCCACCGCGGTCTTGCCCCCAACTCTGCAATACAGAGGACTCTTCGATCAGGACCTCAGAAAACTGGGCATTTCCGACGTCCCTCTCGCGAAACAGCGGCATGGAGGGGGCAGCGGCGGCGGCAATGGCGAGGGTGTTTTCGAAGCTGAGAAGTTACGGGCGTTGCTGATCGGGCTGGTTTGTACCGCGGACCCAGCCCAGCCCGCGCCTAAACAAGGACCTGAAAGAGCCCTATTCAGCGATTTCGAGTACATAGAAGGTTACCCTCACGTACGTACACGTGTGCCGCTGGAATATAGGGGGTGGGGGGGGCTTGCGCAACACGGACACTAGTTTGTTGATAGAACATTGCTTAGATTATTCCTCAACAGGTGTGGCTACAGACTGCGCATACGTCGGAATGCGACGCTCAATACGACCAACAATCTACCCATCATTTTTTCGGGCCCATCAACCTCTAACCCTCCGTGCCTTTCGCAATGTTGGAGCAATATGCCGCCCTCCTCTCTCGTTCCACACGCACAACAACAACAGTACAGTATCACCTTCTGGGTCAGAAAAAAGAACGCTCGCCTGAAGAGTTGCTCACCCAAATGCCGGAAGAAATCAAGTGCCGCCCACAACAAAAAAACGTTTCGCTCGCGGTCTGCCTTACCAACACCACCCCACATCGCACTACCCCAGCGGCGGAACATGATCCGGAAAGTGTTCCTGGAGTGTTTCGGGGCAGCGATGGCTCAGCGTGCAGACAACTTCTCGGCCGCTTTGTCGGAGGGGGGACCGGGCGAGCGGGCGGAGGTCACGGCTCACCAGCTGAGGCGATATTTCGGGCTCTGCGGTACACCGTCTACTGCTAAGGTGCCACGCACTCCGTGGATCTCGTGCAACGTTTCTAATGCTGCTAGCGTCCATCAACAGGATTCAATGTGTGGTCGCAGAATGGTCAGCTTGTTCGAGTGAAAAACACCAGCACGCTGGATTGTCGCCGATCAAAGCGATTTGTTTTTGTGAAAGGGGAAGAGCCATTTTTTCATGTGATATGCTGTCTTCACTGCACTTGTGGCGTGCACCGTGGCCGAACAGTATGTTATCTCCTTTGACGTCTAAAGCACCGAAGTGAGTCAGCGCGTGCCGCGCTGAGTACGGCGTTCCTCATGTTCAAGAACGCCTCCATCATGTGTCCCCCATACGGTTGTGTTCTCCTCTGAACGTGGTCCACACCTCCACTACGACGCATTCACAAGGAACCCTGTACGTTATTCTCGTCGGCTGCCAATGCTGTCCCCATCCCTCGGCACAGGCGCGTCTGCCCTCGCTCATCACTCCAACGCCGGAGGACGAGCACCGCCGCGCTTCCGCCAACGACAGGCGCCGCCTCGCGTCGAGCCTCTCGTTCTTGTCCGCCGGCGCCGACAGGGTTTGCTTTCTGTACTGCGTTCCCCCGGCGGAAACGAGGGCAGGGGGCGGCCCGGCAACGAAGCTCCTGGAAGACCTGCGGTCCCTCCCGGAGAAGGCGGACAACGAGAAGCAGCAGCAGCGGGCCCGACGGGCGGCGCGCGGGGATACGTTCGAGGTTAGGTTTGTCGCGCGGGCTGTTTGCCTCGTGATGCCGTTTCTTGGTAGTATCGTCCAAAGGGCTATGGAATGTCGATCCAAGATCCCGCGAGATCTGGTCGGCCTTTTTGGGCACGTCGCTTTACACGTTTTTTGTGCATGACAGTGCGTCCGCATCTTTCGGTGAAAATACATCACTTGTTGGCAATGAACCTGCACCAGAACGGGTGTTTCGATCGAACCTTGCTGAGGCTCACGTCTGGGGGACGATGCGCTCAAGTGAGCCAGCACCGGTAACTAAGTAGGTCCGTATCAGCGTTCTAGAAGCCAAAAGCGAAACCGCCATTTGTAGGGTAGAAAACGTCCTTCTACGGTACTCGTATGCTACTCTTGCACACATCATACAGCCAACGTAGCAGTAGCTAAATAGCCCATCCAAATCTGGGATCGCTTCTCCCCCCCGTCGGAAACCACTACAGTTCCAACCGCCGTCGCCCATGCCAACCGCCGTCGCCCATGCCAACCGCCGTCGCCCCGTTGTCAGGTTATGGACGAACACCGGCGTGCGATGATGGCCGTGGCGACGTCACTGTACGACATTCTGCAGCACCTCACTGAACTTGGACACGCCTCCAAGATTGTTCGGAGGGCGTACCGCTCGCACGCGGGGAGGAGCTTGCTGGCGCTCTCGAGACATGAAGTGCGTGAAGGCACACCGTTCCCACCATGATCTGCTGCTCCTTCGTTGTCGTCGGTGTTGTCGTGCAGGCGTACACGTACGGAGATGTAGTCGCTCCGCGCGACGCGTTTGAAGTACTACATGAGTACTGTACGTATTCTGTTTCTCGTTTCCTGGTTATCTCATGCCAAACCAATCGCCAACCGCACGTGCACGTGTGTGTGTGTGACAACAACAGCTGGCCCTGAAGCGGCACTACGATGGCTACCTGCTGGAGCGCGGGACTAACCACGTGAAGGTGGAATGGGAGAGGGCGAGAAAGGCCGAAGCAGAGGAGCAACAACGCCAATACGAAGAGTGGCTACGACAGGAGGTAAGAGCGCGGGTGTTGGGCAGGGCCACCATACATCTGGTAGGAAATAATTTCTACTCACGTTCATCCCTGGTGTCTCGTCGTATGCGCACATTATGGCGGTACGTTTCACATCATACTAGTCAAGCACACGTAGTATTTACTTAGGTTCTTCGCGGTGCTTCGCGGTGCTTCGCGGTGCTTCGCGGTTCTTCGTGCTTGAAGAAATGCCTTCGGCGAATACTCGATATATCTGTCTCGGTTATACAGGGATGTTAGGGTCTAATCTGACACTGCAAACTTACACCGCCCACACATGGAAAATTATATCCCAATTTTCGCCTCCCCACTCAATGTGGGCATCGCGGTTCTCCCAGGAGAAACGTCATGTAGAAGAAGAGCTCTATCGGTGGGGGGTGTTGCGCTACGGGTGGCGAGAAGAAGATCTGGAGGGAGTTCCAGGCGTGAAGGTGACGTCATGTGTAGCTTATTCTGCCTGGCCGAGTTCGGTGCATCGCAAAGCTACGGTAGCAGGGGTCGAGGCTTCAAGGATTATTGCATAAAATAGCAACGACTAAAAGACAAGGGTGAGAGCGACGCGGGTACCCCCTCACCGAGGACCCTCCGTGTCCCTCTTCTTGACCCCATCAAAAGCAAGCAGTTTGCGGTACGTTTGAAGCTCGAAAGTCTTCTCCCTGAACAGTGTTCTGGAGCTCAGAGCCAGTAACATACCGCCAGAAGTTGCGATCGCTTCAAGCCGCCTCGGATGTTCAGAACGTACCCATCCGTCGAGTTTATGTGCTCATCAACAGCGGGCGCCGATCTATATACTCCCACCTAGCTCTTCTTGTCGGGGATTGGGTGAAAAGAAGCCAAATACAACCAACGTTTATGGCAGGTTTACCGCCTGTATAAGAGGGTTCAAGCGAAATGGGACGCGGCCGAGGTTGGCCCGAGAGGACCGGACATGGTGGATATGTTGCAAGGTGAAGCAAGAGCGCCCTTACCGTCGAAATCTGTTTATTCGTTTATTCTGTAGAATGAGCAAGAGACAGAACGCAAAAGATGCAATAGTAAAATATGGCGGCAGGGAGTAGATTCTTGCATTCCACGGGAGAAGTGTTGAAAAATGTTTATGCTACATGCGTGGAATGCTTCTGCACCACTGGTTGGGTTGGGACTGTGTTCAAACAACCTAAATTCGTCGTATTTACCCAAAATCGAGGGATTCAAAGAGCGTTACAACCACTGTGCCTATACACATGTCGTTAAGCATGGCGGCAAGTGCAAGTTTTCACAAAGTCACTTTCTACACTTCATCGATCGCTCGGGCTGCACCGTTGGTTGCATCCCGGTCTCCCGTGTCAACTAAGCCGGTTGACAGCAGTTCATTGTTTTACTTTCTCTTCAAGCCAATCGAAGCCGAGAAAAAGTCCAAGTCCAAATCGAACTCTCCTCATGTTTTCCTTCTTTCTTTGCGCCGCGCACTAACAGAGGAAAGCGAGGTTTACCCGCTCTACCGCTACGAAGACGAGATGGCCGCGAGGAAACTCGTTCGCGCGGGTCGGGCGTACATCGCTCGAAGGGTCTTATACATCCTCCGGCGGGATAAGATGAGGTACGCTTCGCCACATACCGTGGTACTTGTTGTTGTCGTGGATGGGGCTCTTCCACAAGGAAGCCATGTTATGACGGACGCGCATACCTTCACGCTTTTCATTGCGCCGACATATGCCAAGGCATATTGTCGTTCATAAACAAGAGTTCCTTGCGACTATTGTGCTTTGTGTAGATCTCTTCTCATGCAAGGGACAGGGAACAACCCCCTTCCCCCATAGTCTCTACTGTACCATTCTCTATGCACTAGTTCAACATGTCAATTTTGATTCCTTCATAAATTGCGGAGGAAACCACGACTACCGAAAAGGAAACAACAGTACGCGCCGGCAGAACAGAAACACAGCCCTCGTTCTTTCGGCTAATGCAAGCGACAGTTGCCCAAGCGCAGAGACCTAGAACATTTTCGAGTACGAACGTTGAGTATCATATGACCTAACAAGCCCCCATAGGAAGTTCGGGCACATACATCATCGGAACCTTGCCTTCGTGTGTCAGCATGGTCAGGCCTGCTCGCAGCTCGACCCTGACGTTGTCCTGCCAACAAGACCTAGAACATTAACGTTTACCCCATCCCTGATAGTTTGTTTCACTTTCTCTCCTGAGTGCGGACGTGTCCCAAATCGAAATCTCCCGACGCATGAGACAAAACAAATGCCAAAAGCGGTTGCTCGCTCTGTTGTTCTTGATGATGGCAATGTTAGGCTGGAGAAAGAGCGCCTGGAGCGAATCGAGTGGGAGCGAGCGGAACGGATTGCAGATCAGCATGTGACTGTGAGAAAACTCTTAGCAGTAGCTGCTGCATACACAGAATCGGTCCATCTACGCGCAGTGCCTTCATACATAGCCCCATACCAATCCTGCTTGGCTGTGGGAACAGAATCCGGGGTGACAGCTCACCACACGAGGTGAACAGTAGTTTATTTTCACGTGCACCAAACGTTGTCCTCCTGCTCCCACTTTGAAGGAAATCCCGCTCTGGGAAACCCCAGCTGCCGTCGTGGACGACATTTGCAAAAACAAATTCTTCCTTGCCCCAAAAACCGAAAATAACTACAACGGTCGTTGCTGTCCCGAAATTATATAGTAGTAAAAGAGAGCGGTGTTGAGTGGCACATTAACGGGCGTTTCCGCCATTTTGATCCTTCGTATGGAGGCATATTTGAGGCATGACCTACCGAACCCTTCCTGATCCTCGTCCTCCTCAGAACAATGTAGGAACTTTGAATGGTCTCAACACCTCAGAAAGGGCTAGAACTTTGCCGTTGGTGGTCGCACAGCTTTGGTAAGCCCCTCTCCCTTCCCCCGTCACTGAGTACCACCCACCCACCCCGCCCCGGTTATTATACCCGTTTTTTTTTCTCAGGCCCGGCTTCCGCTGGTTACTGTTTCAGCGAAGCGATACTTCCATGCGACGCCTGACGAGCTCAACGACGACCCATACATTGAAGGTGCGGCTGCTAAACATGTTTTATAGTTATTTGATTGCTGTGCAGTCGAGCACTTGTACTACGTCAAATGGCACCCTGACCATCGGCCACTAGTATTGCGGTAAGGGACGTGCAGCCACACACCCTCCTTTCCTCACCCCATTTGTGGGCTAGCGCAAATAACCCGTCCGTAAAACCTCTTCGCTATTTCACGCCCAGAAGGTCGCTCACCACGACACAATTGAAACGCTTATTTCGTGTGCTCCCTCAGGGGAGGGTGCACCACGTTTGGTCTCTCCGACGAGAGGATTGGCATTTACTAATCGTTCTGAACAACGCTTTGAGGCGACGTTTTCTGGTTGACAACCACGCTTGTCCGTACGCGTGCGCAGGAGAGTTCGAACCGCCCTCGGATGACCACCTGAGCCTCTGGGTAGGCTTCCTGGTGGATGCACGAACTCCGGCGAGACCCTCCAAAACCGGTTCTACCGGCAGGGGACGAAAGGGCAACAACAACAGGTCTCCAAACTTTGAAGCCTCATCTCATTCTAGTTGCAAAGAACGAGAGAGAGAGAGAGAGAGAGAGAGAGAGAGAGAGAGAGAGAGAGACACACACAGAGAGAGAGAGAGACACAGAGAGAGAGAGAGAGACACACAGAGAGAGAGTGCGAGAAGCGAAATCCGACAGAGAGATGTAGAGATAGAGAGGCCTTCATCACTCCCTAGGAACCTACAAGAGTGCCGTAGAGGCAGTTTGTCCTGCGCACCTTTGCCTCCAGTCGAACCGCGGTGCACAACCGAAGGAAGGTTCTACGTAGTGGGCCGTGACCCGTCCTCTCACCAAAAAATCTACTGTAACAGGGGATCGACGGCTGCTGCAGCGAACGGTCCTTCCAGTGGCGGCAGCAGCAGTAGAGCCTCACAAGCGACATCGCCGACGAGGGGGGAAGGCGCATCGGGGGGACAGTGGAGGGGCCCGGCAGGGGAAGGCTGGATGCGAGGCGAGGTGTTCCTGGTGAACCCAACCGAGGTGGTGTCCGCGGAAGGGGTCAAGAGGTACCCGAAGGGCACGTTTGGAATCAGGTGAGTCGGCGGGGAACGCTATCAGGCGAATGGTTATCTGTTTGCTGTGCTTGTTTCTCTCCATGGTGCGTGCTCCGCCCGGCTCTTGTGACCGTTTCTTGGAGAACTATCGTTCATGGGAGGAGCGGGTCCTGGTATCGGAAATATGTGGATGGGTCGCAATTTCGTAGTTTCCTTTGAGTTTAGACATGGTAGCTATGATAGGAGGCTTGTGCCGCGATTGAATGCTGCGTTTGTCACGACGATATCCTCCCGAGCAAGGTGGCCTCTGAGAGAACCAAGGTCAGGATATGGTTTTGCTTGCTATTTACTACGCTAGTGCATTGCTCGACGGACTGCTAGACTTTCAGTCACCATCGATCGCAGTAACAAACCGTTGTCATTTTCGCAATCGTCGATCGTGTCGTTATATATTGGCAGCGTCAGCAAGATGCATGGGCATATTGTGCCACAACCCCACACAAAATACCCTTGACAGTGCCGGTTCCTTGTACTCGTTCATGCAGGTACCTAGATACAGGCGAAGAGATCCCCGATGTGCCTCGCGACTGCATCCGCGCGCTCACGCTCACGCCCGGGATGAAGGTAGAGGCGAGATACGGCGGGGGCCTCGACTACTATCCAGGGGTAATCGAAGGGGTTAATACGAGGTGCGTTTCGGATGACGACTCACGGCTGGCCGGCGCGCGTGCATCGTGTTGCTTCGGCCTCAGCATCCCTACCACTTTGCTCGAGTGGGGCACGTTGGTGTGTGTACCAGGGTCAAGCGTGGGTGCTGACCAAGGGTCATCGCGGTAGGCCACTGTTGGCCGTGTGTGTATCTGCGTGGCACCTCCCAGATACGGCGACAGGGCGTCACGGTGCAAGCTTGTCTCTTGTTTTGTCACATCATGCCTCTCTTGTCGATTTCTGAAATATTCACACGCGGAAACTCAACGACATACACAAGTTGCTTGAGCCACACTTGTGGTAAGAATTTTCATCATATAGACTAGGCCGCAAGATTCACCGTATCGCACCTACGGCGAGAACTCTGCCTCTCCTCCACCCCCTTCGACTCTCGCGCTCCCTGTTCTATACAACAGAAATGGATTGGCCCTGTCCTACTCCGTCAAGTACGAAGACGGGGACACTGAAAAGGTGGTCAAGCGGGGTCACATCGCTCCCTTTCCCGAAGAGGTGAGAAATTTGAGCGGGACCTTGTGCGCCCATTGTCTTTCGCTGTTTCCGACTGATGAACGCACCGGCCATGACACCGAGGGAAACAGGCTTTCCCCGTATTCACACGAGACATGCTCAGGAGGCACTACTACGCTTTGCTTCGGGGCTTGGCCCCAAGAGATAACCCTTACCCTAGCTTTCACGCCCAGACGTGTACGCTGGGATTTGTTTGCTGTTGTTGCTGGTGCTACCAAAGTTGGCCATCATCCACGTGGCACCTCCCGAGCTCTTGGAACTATATTCCCGGAAAGGGATCACTCTTTTGTGGTATTCTGCTGCCGTTGAGGCCGCCCGCTCATGATGTCTCGGCGTGAAGGTAGCCCATGGGAAAGTCCCCTAGATAAGGGACGAAATGCCTCCTTTCTGAACCTCCTCCAACCTTTGGGTCACCGTTTCTGTTAGGTGGCGGCTCTGGATGCCGTGGCGGCCGAATTAAGGGGGAAAGCGGCTGTCCGACGCGATCGTGCAAAGTTTTTACAGCGTCGCAGGTGCGCACCTAATCAACGTGCTAAATGCGTCGTATTGTTGTTATTGTTGTTATTTAATGATCGAATTTGCCCATGTAGGTAGACCAATCTGTCTCGTACGGAACACGTATTACATCACCCAAAAACCTCTGCAAACGTTCAACAATATTCCAATTTCTCTGTCAAGGAAACATAGGGTTCGAGGGTGGGCACACAATATCATTAACATCCGTTTCATGCGCGATACGCGCAGGCCCATGGCGTTGCAAGACTGCCGTGCCAAAACCTGTTGAGTTGAGGTATAGCACCGTCGGTTGATATGCCTCACATTCTGCGCGCGGCTTCAAGGCCCCGCTACATGATACAAATAGTTCGGTAGCTGTGAAATGTGTTGGCCCTGAAACTGCACAAACTCCTTCGGCTTGCTCCTACTTTTTACTCCTATTAGCTGCACAGAGTTCTCCTCCCGGAGGCAAAAACAGGCGCCACAACGCTATTGGTAGGGTGTCGTCTCCCGCAGTGGTAGAAGATGAACACGCAACAATCACCCGGAGTCACGACCTAGCATACGCTCGGCTGCTGTTGCCAAAAATCGTCGACAGGGCCGTGGTTGCGTCTGCGTGGCGCGAACGAGTCCAAAAGGCGGAGGACGACTATCTCGCCGCCGCCACCGCCGCCGCTGTGGTCGCCGAGGCAACACCAAAGAAGCAGGCCTCGGGCAAAGGAGGGGCAAGGGGTCACCACTTTGCCTCAGCTGCCGTCGCCGCCCGCCGAGTGGGTGGTGCTAAGGGTAAACGCGGTAGCACAGGCGTTCGAGGCGGCGTCCGCGCAGGGAACGGCCGAGGCGGCTCTGGACGCGACGTCAGCGGCGGCGGCGATGTGGACGCGCTGGCTTGTATAGGTAAGCTGGGGGGGGATCAACGAAGGCGTTGGGGCACTTTTCGGTACACTGTAAACAGTGTCGGATACCGTACACCAAAAGCGAAACCCTAGCAATACCGTCGTTGCTTTTGGAACCTATCGGCATGAGCGGTGTTCCCCGGCTGGACTCATACTTGGGCCAGTGATTTTGTCGGTTGCCATTCAGTTACCACTACTGTATTGTCTGTTTGTGGCAACGCACTTTTGACTCTTGTAGGTGTCGGTAGATGCGGCCAACTTGCGACATAACTCCCCCCTCCTTTCAAATAACGTCAGTCTTTTTTTTTTACCCGCGATGCCACTCTGGTTCCAGCATCTCTTCTTTGCTAGCTCCACCGATGTTCCGCGTGCAACAAGCAACCGACTGCTTATGTCACCGATCACCACCGCCGCACGAAACAGGCATGATCGAAGCCGCGGAGAGGCTTCATACGGAGACCAGACCACGTGTGGCCGTCGCGCTCAAGATCGACTACACCCGCCAGGCAACGCGCTTCGGATGCAGCCAAGTCCAAACTTCGGCGGGCCTTTTGTGGAAGTCGAACGTTACCAAGGCGTTCACAAGGGGCAGGCCAAGGTTTGACGAGGGGGAACAGCACAGGGCAAGGCTGCTCGAATAACGATCGTGTGGTTAATGCGACGGACGCACAGCTGCATTGTTGTTGATGTTGTTGTTGTCTTCACCTCATAGAAAGTTCCGATGTTTTCCCAAATCTACACGCATCGGTGATGCAAAAAAATGAAGATACTCTTGAGAAAAAATGGTCGATCTAGCACTGCAAGTAAATTGGTGGAGACACCGAGTACGGCCACCAGGGTTGAAGACAAACGCATCAAAGTGCAAAGTTGAATCAATCGCCCAGCGCTTTACTTCTTTCGTTTCTGCACCAAGCACGCCTTAGAGGAACCCATCACCTTGCCCGCAAGGCCCGAGGGCAAGCAATCTAATGATCAGTGCAACGCCCCCTAAACTCACAGAAGCTCTAAATTACAGGTATCTAAACATTTTGTGGCCTTCAGCACCGTTGAAATCCGCATTGGCTAACCCCTCTGCGTGTAGGTATACCTTCGAGGAATCGGCCGCCATGCGCAAGGTGCAGGCCGCCTGGGCGGGGTTCATGGGCAGGCGAGCCTTCCGCGACCAGCTGGCGAAGCAAAGCATCCGCGGTCTGGCAATGGTGTGCATCAACGAGGCGTCGTCTCATGCTTGGATCGGGCACGAAGAGGTAATAGCTCCCCAAGGCAGGCTGAATCAAGTACTCTGCACTTCGAAGCACGCGCATATCTCCATAATACTTGCCCGCGTGCTTCGTACCGATGTATGGACCGACCAAGGAAGACCTCTTGGGGTGCGTTCCCCGTACGAACCTGCCTGACCCCGCCTTACCCACACTCTCCCCTTCTCCCCGACGCGCCCGTGTTTTCCTCTATCGGCATTACACCAATGCGTACACCAATCAGGAGGGGCTAACCATCGAAATGTGGCTGTTGAGAGCGGGGGTTTCACCCCCGGACGCGCACAGAGTGGCTGCGGGTGCCACCAAAGCGCTTTCGCAGCTGGCAGCTTCTCGTGGCGGCGGCGGTGGCGGTGGCGCCGGATATGGTTCCAAAGCTGGCGGGAAAAGCGGTGGCAATCGCCGGGCACAGCCTTCTTCCGTGTCGTGAGTTTCCTCTGCTGGCAACCGCGGTTGACCGCTACAACTCTCGTGAAGTATTGCTTTGAGCAGAATTGGGGGGTGTAACCTCACTTTCCATCCGTAAATCCAGCAGTCAGACAACATTCACTCCCCTACACCCCCGCTCGCACCCCCGCCCCCCGCTGACAACAACTGGTATGAAATCATGCATCCACAACCAGGTGCTCTGCCTTCCGGAACTGGCTGGGGGGAAGCAGTAGAGGTGTGGCGGCGGCGGCGGCGGCGGCGGCGGCGGCAACGGCAGCGGCAGGCGGAGCGGTGCGCACAGGTGGTGGTGTTGCGTCGGGGGCCGCCGGTGACGCGAAGCTGCTCAAGCTCGGGCTCGAGTCGACCGTGGATCGGCGGAGGGTGATGGCGGTGGTCATGAAAGAGGAGCCGAACCCTTCCTTAATCAACTGGTTCGAGGTGTGCTTGGATTGGAATGCTTCCACCCTAACAAGTGGGCAGAGTGGAAACGAAAACGGGCAAGAAAACCATCACCGTAGCCTTCTAGCGTAAGGGGTCCAACTCCAAGCGTTAAAACAGGCAAGGTAGGTGCCTTCCGGCAACCTGTTGGGGTGTGGGGAACAACTAAACCGCAAACGTGTTGCCGAGGATGAGCACTTGAACTAGTGATGAAATACGCGAAACCACCTCCGCCATGTTTGCTCGTTTCTGTTCCCAACACCGCAATCTACAGGGGCCGACAGACCACAAGACGGTTTCGGCCGCCATCGCCGCCGGGGAAGCACAGGCGTTCAAGCTCGTGTGGAAGACCTTCCCCGGGAACCAGTCCCGTGCCGAGAGCATGTCGAAAAGGGTGGCGGCGTCAAAGTACCCGGTGACGAGGTGGGGAGGGTGATTAACTTACACGTGATTCGCGTTCAATTGAATCGAGTCTTAAAATGTCCCGAACCTTGCGCTGCGTTGAGTCTCGCCAAGATCGTACTGATGGGCTCAGACGTATGTGCCGATCGACGCGGACTTGTCGTCCAGGGACACTGACGCCACTCACTAAAACTTCGCTCGGTTTTAAGTGCAGACGTGACGAACAATACCGGAGCAACATCGTAGCATTTCAACCTACAGGTCAAGGCTACTTTGAAGGGGGTCTGACCAAAGCCGCGCTCCCGACTCTCGTTCGAGGGACCCCTCTCGCTCTATTCGTCCGAACTCTGGTGCTTAACTGCAGGATGCAACTCACGGCGTGGCTCAAGAGGCACGATGGTCGTCCCGGAGTCGCCCAGTCATCCATGTCCGAGCAGCTCGTCGACGTAGCGGTAACGTCCTCGAGGGAGGCAGAGTCAGCGGCGTACGAGGTAGGCGAGAGCGTTTCGTGGTGGTGGTCTGCGGCCTTACATTCCAAGCGAGAACGGCGTGCAGGAATACCGCGAAGATTATCCACCGCCACGCATACCACGAGGATTTGTCAACCATCACAAGAATAGGCTGTGTTACCCAGCTATCTGCCAGTGACTACGGCATGCACGTCCCTCGCCAGGTCATTCATCTCTCAATTACTGTTCCGGGACACAGCGGGCGATCGACGTTTACCCCGCAGCATGCCCTGGCCCCGGCAGAAACCACTGTTAAAGCAAATAAAACGGGTATTCGCTTGTTTTGGCTGCCAGTTTAAGAAGAGAACGATTCCAGAGGTTTCCACTACAAGGCTTAAACGGAGGCATAGGTGTACGATAGCTTCTCAATCGAAATCCGCACACCGCCGTCCATCAATGTACGGACGTCTATCCCCACCCGAAACACACAGGTGTACCGGCTCTTCTGTCAGCGTCTCTCTATACTGGCCTCCAATATGCGCCTCACGGGGCTGCGGAGCGCCATCACTCACGCTGCGGCCAAAGCCGACGGCATCCTCGCAACCCACGCTGATGCCGCTTTCGACGGTAGCAAAGACAACACCGGCGAAGGCAACCTTGCTGCTAAGATGGGTTCATCATCGTCCTTATTAAAAGGATCTCGCAGAAAGGATGGCAGCAGCAGCGTGGATGCTGCTTCTGGGAATAGCAAAGGTTAATATAGCACATCCGCGATAGTCTCATACTCTGTAGAGGACTTCAGCTAGTCTTTGTCAGAAATTTGGCATTTTAATCATATCAACAACAGTTGACGTACACCGGGAAGTGACACCAATGATGGGTCAGCCCTCTGTAACAGTTTCGACGGTACTGTTTTCAACCGTTTTCACCCCCACGATCCAAACGAGTGCATTCTTTGACGAATGGGTTCACTGCAAACGTGCTGCTGTCATGTTTCACAAGACGGTCGGAAGCAAGCAACCGCGGCCTTGCAGGCGCTGAAGGGGAAGCTTGGCGATGTCGGGGAAGCGGAAGATGCAGCGTCGAGAACCTGGGCGCATGCAAGAGCGGCGCTGGTGCTGAGAACAGAAGGCGTGTCCGTTGCTTTGCGCTGGGTTTCCGCTGCAAAGGCCATCCAGGTATGCCACACATTCTTGGGAGCATCTACATGAATTTTGGCCGTCATACGTACGTATTTTCGAGGTGGACATCCCCCCAAGACGTTGTCATTGGTCATGTACAACATTCGTCAAACCCATACTTGGGTGCACTTAGTCGAGCTATGTAAGACGTACCGCCTCGATCCAGTGGTGTCGCTCTTTTCAACGTACCGTACGCACGAGAGCTCACTGCACACCCCCCCGCCGGTGCCATCATCACCACTACCGACGACCGAGAATCGATCGTTCTCCATCGCCGTCATTCTCACATAACCCCCGCAACAAAAAAAAAGGTGGCCTTCCGAGGGTTCCGGTGCCGTAGTTCCTACCGCGCGCTGCTGGCAAGGAGGAGGCGCGCCGCGACCATGATACAGTCAGCGGAGCGGCGCAAGAGAGCATGCGCGACGGCAGCAGACCTGAGAGAACAACGCGCTAGCCCGTGGGAACAGCTGTGGGACGACGAAAATGGCCGACTGTATTTCTTCTTCAAGGTGTCGTCGATTGCTGTGCAGGCTTCAGATTCGTCCTTTATGACATGTAGCATCGTTGGAGTCTGATGGGCTCATCGTGCGCGCCTCGCGACGTGCAAGAGTTGTCTTTAGTGACACAGAGGGAGATTTGGACATACGAGGGCACGGGCAACATGGCAACCGTCCCTCGTGCCGTACAAGTTGGCTCTATCGATGCAATTGGGCAGCAGCAGGGGTTGTACTTCTTCGGTAAGGCTTATCTCGACAGTACTCGTTGTCTCCCCTCTGGTTCGATCGCGGTTGCTTCTATGTTTACAAGGCATACGTACCAGGAGCGAAGGTGAGCTTCACTACGTCTCGTTAACACCATTTGCTAGAATGTCGCAATAATCCACTGTCCTGAAGCTTCGCGCTGAATACAAGCCTCCTCCTCCCGAAACTTTTGCGTCGCTTTCGGTTCATAAATTCAATACATCAGGATACGGGTGAGTCATATTGGGACCCTCCGGATGAGCCGTTCCGACCAATGATCCGCGACCGACTGTCTGGAGCCCTCGTTCAAGCCTGGCCGCAGCTAGAAAGAGAGCTGTTGGAGGTGCAGTGGGGGTGCTGAAGAAAGTAGTTTGCAGTTTTCGTCGTTCTTCTGAAGACTATATGTGAACTATTTCCGGAGCTTCGAGCATCTTACATTCCGGGAGGGTCCCAACGGTAACGGTTGGCACACAACAGTACAACTCCTTTCATTTTTACACATCTTGAAAGGAAGGAGCATTACTTCTCGCCAATCAGGAAGAAGAATCCTCGAAACAAGCGAAGTCAGAAAGTGTCTTGTTCCGTATTTCGCAAGTTTTTTTTTCCCACTCGTTTCATTGATGCCCGCCCTTCTTTCGCAGGCGGTTGGAGCAGCACCGGGGTACTGCATGCAATGCAAGACAGAGAAAGCCACCCGAGTGTGCGACCAGTGCACGTTTGGCGGACGGAAAAAGCCTGCGTGGGGCGGCGGCAAATACCACTTGTGCTTCGTCTGCTTTGCGGTGAGAAAAAGGACAAGTTTGACGCTTCTCCCTGAACCAGTTTGTGGGTGTTTCCTTGTCTCTTTAAAATGTGTATTGTTGGTCCACTTGCCCATCTACGCGCTGCAGCTTTTGAGCTGTAGGTGTTTTGCTTTCAGTCCTATTCTACTGGTGGCGGTGATCCTCCGAACAGTTGCGGTATGTCAACGTTCCACATCTAGGCTGACCACGAAAAGAACGAGTCGTGCCAAGGAGCTGCTAGCAAATTCTGCATTGGTTTCGACCATTGTTTCCTGGGATAGCGCGATCGAACTTGCATGCTACTGTCTATCCCGCCTCTGCCGGGTTCCTGTTCATTCCCCACCATCCATCCTTTCGCAAGTTTCTTTGCAAACCTAAGCCATTCCATCACTCGCTCCGGAACAAACAGCTGTTTACTAAAGGGATACTTGTTCGTTTTACTCCGTGTTCCTCTCCCTCGCGCATGTCCATTTCTCGGCGTTTACAAATGTGTCTCCAGGAGCGACACGCCGACACACCAGAACTCACCAGCCACACGTTCACTCCCGTCCATACGCCTGGGAGTGGCGAGCTCACGTGCAGCCTGTGCGACCGTCCGGCCTCGCGCAGGTTTGTTAGCGTTTCCGATGCTGCTGGTGCTCCTTGATATTATTGTCGCGTTAAAACACAATTTGCTCAATCTATCTATCCTGCCGATGAGGGTGTGGCCCTTGAATACGCGATCGTCGCGCCCAGCCTATTGGAAAAGAAAGCTTCGTGCCCGTGTACTTCGTGCATCAGTTCGTTGGCCCGGTCCTCTGCTGTTTCATTAATGACAAGGGTGCCACATGCAGCAACTCGGCGTAGGACACGCTGTTATCCCCGATGCACATGTCGTACCATGCGCGGAATGTACGTCAACGACAACTGTCGCGAAACCTCGCCCCTCTGCACTTCTGATACAAATACTCAATCAGCAGGTGTGTAGACGAAAGGGTTCCGAGCGAAAATGAGAACGGAGCAAAGTTGGAAGCTTGTGCTGCTCACCCAATCCTAGTCGCAGAAGACAACAACAAAAAAACGAACGGCGATTGATAGATGCCTGACAAATGCACGCGCGATCAATCGTTGGTGATCAACAGGTGTAGGGGCCTCGAGCTGCCGGAAAGGGCGCTGGTCGTCGCCGCTCGCATGCTGCAGAACGCGCGGCTGGCGGCCGTCTTGGAGGGCACGGCCGCAAGGGGGCACCCACCCCATCCGTCGTCGTCGTCGTCGCGGTCGCCGGGCGTTCCCAACAGCTCGTCCGCGGCCACGACGAAGGCGTCAAGCTCGACGGCAACGGGAGGAAGCATCTCCTTGGGCGGTGGTAGCAACAGCAACAAGACGAGGAGGGCCGGTGATCCCCCGGTGTCCCGTGAAGAGTTCGAGCGCATCCTGGCCGTTTGCGACCTGCCCTACAGCCTCACGTGGGCGGATGCTACCTACGAGCTGTGTAACGGGGAGGTCGGGGTGCAAGGAGAGGTGGAGGCCTACGGCGGTTACGGCGAAGGCAAGGCCAAAGAGAAGAAGAGGAAGGTGCTGCGAACGTCTGAGCAGTTTTGGGCTGCCTTCGGAGCGGCACTGGTTTCGGCCGGCGATGATTGCGACGATCTGCTGTGTGGGTGAGACCAAGGAAGCCGGGAACAGGCACATCGGACTAGGAAACATCTTCGGCCACAATTCAACCAATCGCTTACCCCAGCCACGAATACCTTCCTCTCCTGAGCCCATTCATAAGGTCTTCGGTTTCGACTTTAGATATGCTCTACATGAGCGATGCACTTTTCTTTTCCCTGCCAAGAGCCGCCGACCGCAGAAGGCTGAAACGAAAAGAAGATCATTTATATATGGCTTTTGTGTTTCCTGGTTCAGAAGAACAGCCTCTTGGAGATGAAATCGGGTACCCGTTGTTTTCCAAGGGCATTGTCGATGGGGCTGCGCGTACCACAGGGAGGACGTCTAACGGTGTGAGAGATCCACATCGACCTCGAAAAAATATCACCAAGCCGATCTCTATTGACAATTACTTGAAGTTATGATATGAATTTATGCTCTGCTTTTGGCACAACAGCGAGTGCTGGGAGAGCGTCCACAAGCGAGGCGTCCGAGCGAGTCACCGCTGGGAAGGCTTCCGCACGGGATCGCCGGCGTGCGTGGCGTGTCGCCGCAGCCCTGCAGAGCGAAAGTGCAACGTCTGCAATGATCTACTGTGTGCGCCCTGCTTCATTGAGAGGTCGGAAAATACGCTTGGTCATTTGGCTGCCTGGGCGGTATGTTTGAGGGGGTCTGGAGATTGTGCTTCACGGAACATGAAACAGGCGCAGAACTACAGTAGCGGTAGTGTCAACAGCAATAGCAGCAGCAATGCCTATGCCCGCCATAGCTCCAACAAAATTTCTTCCCCCAAATCGCTCGCTTATTCCTGCCGGTTCGTTGAATTTCAGCCACGCGCTCCAAGCAAGAAATCGTAGTACTCCTACCGCTAGTACCGACGAATCTTTAGATCCATGCGAGCGCGCGCTGAACAAACTCAGCTGTTCTCGTGGTCTGACCAATACTACTAGCATTTTGCAACGGCACGTGCGATGCTCGCTGTTTTTCACAGTCACGCTAGGGGGAAGAAACAGCGACACTCTTGGCGGACGTGCCTGGAGGAGCCGTTGGAGCTACCCCGGTGCAGTGAATGCCATCGTAGGGTGGGCGACAGGCGGTGCGAGAGCTGCGAGGTAGACCTATGCGACTCATGCCAGGCCTTCACGCACGCAAGGGTGAGAGACAACGCGCGAACCTGGTTTTTAAAGGGCACCTTCTTGTGCAATACAAGAAAAAAGACGAGTGTATGCCCGCATACTGACGGGGGGGGGGCTCCGTACATCAGCAACTCGCCGCCTCTTCCCGATTTACCTAACCGTACTTCGGACACCACGAAGCCGTTAACCAGAGGCACACCTGAAATGCATATTGAGTGCGCGTTTCGATCCTTGCGTTCTGTGTGCTGCTCGACGACCCATGAGCAGACATGTCCTCACGCCAACGAAGAAGGGCGTAAGGGCTCCTCAACAGCTGGCGGCGACCACAGCGGGAAGCACGCGCCCAAGAGAGCTTCGTCTAGTGGGGCCGTCGGATGCGGGGGTCGTCACCCGGCGGTCACGAAGCGACAGAAGAGGGAGACGGACGAAATTTTTGCCTCCCTCACCCTGGAAGGGACCGAGGTAAAAGAGAAGCTGATTGTTGCGCGCGTGCAAGGGCATGTTCCTCCCAAAAGACAACTTTCTTCGCGTTTGTTTTTGGAGTCTGCCAATTGCAAAAGGCATGATAAACGTAGGCCTTTTGCAGATGTGGCCGTGCACCCAGCGCCACCAGTATTTTTAAGGATCATGCAACCAAAATGTGTTTCTTGGTCTTGACTATCTTCTCCGTGTACTCTCGTCACTTAATGCTTTCGCTCTCTGGACCACAAAACTGAAGAAACCAGGAGGAAACAAAGCGCAGCGATACGCGCCCCCTCGTTCCCTTCCTTCTTGCTTCGCGTGATGGTCGGCGTGCTGGTGTCTATTAGTAGCTTCGGTCGATTGGACGTATATAGCCCTCTTGATCCAGCAAAAATAACATGTCTCCGCGCTTCCGCTCATGGTCCCTCTTTGCATGCCTGCTCCCCCCCCCCCCCCCCCCAACTAA